ACCTATGGTGTTTACATGGCGCAGTTAATTCAATATTCAAGGGGCTGTTCCCATTATCACGATTTTCGTTCAAGAAGTCATTAAATGAGGAGCAAAATCCTTACACAGGGTTTCGAATGATGCAGGCTAATGAAACATAATAGGGAAGTTTTACGGTATTCAAAGTGATCCTCTTGAGAAATATTTTTACGATATGAAGCTAGACATGTACTTTGTTCTCAAATGAGAACGTGACATTATTTACTTGGATTGACCAAGATGGCCGGTGCCGTCGATGAAGCAGGGGACACTTACATCGGAACAAGTCTTCTCTTGAAATAACAAGAAATATATTGAACATATCTATCGTATATACATATATCTACATCAGCTGCTTATTTTGATTTTGATCTTCAACGTAACCATGGACAGATTTCAACCAAGTTAAGTAATAAACGTGATGATTTCCATTTCGCTATTGTGAATTTCCCTTGTCTGACTCCCAACATGCTTGCATCCCCAGTCTATGTTGTTTACCTGTCGCAGTTGAGTCAATATTCAAGGGCCTGCTCCCAATATCACGATATTCGTGCAGGAAGTCGTCAACGTACGGACAAACTTGTAACACAGGGTTCAAAAAATGCAGACAGATGGAAATTTTGCCTGTTTATTCCGTTGTATTATACCTAGTTCTCATTTGAGAACGTGACATTACTTACTTGGATTGACTAATGTTACATGGCGGATGTCGTCGAGGAAGTAAAGAACGCTCACTCTTCCGGAACAACTGGTAAGTTTCTCCTTGTCCATTTTCAGAGTTCCTTGTAAACATTTCTTTAGTTCATATTTTGCCCTAGCATAGTTTTATTTGCTTTGAGTTTGGTTGGTGGTTGTGTTAGCAAGTTGTTTTCCTATTTGTTGTTTCTTTGGCATGATATGAAATTGGACATGTTTGGTGCTGGGTCGTTTCATTTCAAAATATTTTATTGATATAAATAATCAATAGGATTAGGCAGCAGGCTAGAGCCTATATAAGTCTTCTCCCAAGACAACATGGTGGTCAGAAATAAACATAATACACAATACACAATAAACATATACATACATACATACATACATACATACATACATACATACATACATACATACATACATAAATTTAGTGTTGACAGACTAATCAATTTTAAATTATGGGAGACAACTCTGTTGTTATTTTTAATACTTTAATCTAATGATTATAAGAAGATAATAAACAATTCACCAACTTTTCAGTTTACTATGTCTTATGATATTAATGATATTAAGTGTACATTACATGTACTTTCTCTTCCATACAAAATGGTTTTGGGCCAGTGTGCCTATGAAATAAAAGTTTGTCCTACTTCAGTGAGGGAGCAATTACACATGAGGCACATTTTTCGCATTCTAAATAAAAGGATATTCAGATCAAGATAAAGAACTGTTCAGAGTTGTTTCCTTATTATAAGATGATAACTGAAATATTGGGAATAAATCAGAAAGAACAAATAATAACGGGGAAAAGTAAATATCTATTAACCAGCATTCATCTCATTATTGATAAAAGTTGAATTAACTATATCTATGGAAGGATATCAATTTTTTAATTACATTTTGTTTTAGATTTGTTCTATAATTTCAATTCATGTCAGTAGATATTAAACATTAAATCCTTTCCGTTTTACCAGTATACCTACTAACAGCATCAAACAATGATTTATTGATGTAGGTAGTACAATTTGGGCAGCCATGCTGTTATTCTTACAAGCTGGAGGATTTGTCCTAAACAGAGATTTATTTTATTTTTGAAGTCTCAGAATATTCATTTTTTGAGTTGCCTTTTTCATACATAAAATCTATGTGCTTATTCCATTTGCTATCACTACTGAATGCTAAACCCAGATACTTGGTCGAAAGAGGTTGTGACTAGCTGATTGTTGAAATGAATATCTGGATGGTTTGGTATGGTGTTCCTTGTAAATATTACTGATTCTGTTTTAGATGGATTAAACTTAATATCCCATTGTTTAGCACAATCTTTACAGAATTCAAATAATTTCCAAGAGATTCAGCTACTTCACCTGGATTATCAGTGACAACTTCAAACAAAGAGGTATCATCAGCAACCAACTTAATAGAGCTATATCATTCATGTACAGTATAAAAAGAAAAGGTACCAGAACTGATCCCTGGGGGACTCCTGCATTAACAGATTTAAAGATTGCGGCAAAGGCTTCAATCACCACACGTTGTTTTCTATTAGATAAATAATTTTGTGACCACCTTAAAACACCTTTAATTCCATAAGATTCAAGCTTGTATAATAAATCCTCATGCCAGACAATATCAAATGCATTGCTTATATCACAAAATACAAATCTCAACTCTCTATTATCATCTAAACTACTAGTTATATTGTGGTATATGGAAAGCAGTTGGTTAATAGTTAAAATCCTTGGGTATACATCCTGACTGATGTTTTGATATTATTTTGAAAGATCGTTGAACAAATGTTTAAATATAATCTAATGTAGCATCTTACTAAAACATGAGGTCACTGAAATAGGTCTTTAATTGGTTACATCATTTTCTATCCCCTTTCCTTTATGATGCCTGTCTCAAGGTTTTTTTAACAAAATGTAGAGTGAGAGGTAATGAGATAGAAGGAGCAAACATTTCAATCATTTTCGGATAGAAATTATCAGGCCCTGGTGGTTTCTTAATATTAAGTAAAAAAAAGCTGATCTTTAACATCTTGTTCAGAAAAAATGATATTGTCAATAGTATAAAGAATACAACGAGGGGAGATGTTCAAGGTCAGCAGAAGAAGAAATAGCAGTGAAATAGTTATTAAGAAATTGAACTTAATGGATACTATATAAGGATGACTTATATAGTATCCATTGTCACATAATGGTGGTAAAGGGAAAGATTTATTGTTGGTTTTGAACACTGCATTGGCAATTTTCGACCATTTACTTGGAGGGAGAGACTTGTCACTTAAACTATTCGCAAGGTTTTCATTATAACGTTTTTTTCATTTCTTATTAGATCAATTACTTGGTTTCTTTTCTGTCTGTAATTTCCCAATGTGGTGATGAATTTGCTTTAGCCTTTTTGTGAATTCGATTTCGTTGCCTTATATTTAATATGATTGTTTGATTCATCCTTGGTTTGTCATTAGGTCGAAAAATTATTTTTGGAGAGGATAAACTGCTGAATAAGATCATTTATAGAATTAATAAGAAATTAATTAAGCTCTTCAGCAGTCATAGTATGATATGATGATATGATAATATTGCCATCATTCATGCTATCAAAATCTGCTCTTTCAAAGATATATTTTTCTATATTGTAGGCATTACGTTTAAATATTAAATACTGAATTTCAAATGATATCAATGAATGATCATTACAAAGAGGCGGACTTACTAACGCATTTCAAACTGTATTAATATTATTTGTGAGGACAAGAAGGCGGAAGTAGTATGGGTTAAACGTGTAGGTTCAGTAATTAAATTTATTAGATTATACTTCATCAATAGATGCTTCAGATGACGATTTTGATCAATGCACAGCATATTAACATTGATGTCACCAGTAATTATAACATCTTTATTAGTCTAAATGACAACTTCTAGCATATTATAAGGTTCGTTTGCCTGTTAGTTCTATCATCGTATAAATTTGTTCTCATTTGAGAACATGACATTACTTACTTGGATTGATCAAGGTTTACATGGCAGATGTCGTCGATGAAGACGATGCTTACTCTTCCGGAACACCTGGTAGTTTACGTCTAAATCTTTCCTTTGTTCATATCATGCCATAGTATTATCTAATTGGAGCTTGGATTATGATTATGTTGATAAGTTGGTATGTTCTAATTGCGCAGACTATCTATCAAATTTCATTATTCTTCCAATCAGTGATGTTAGTTAATTGACATGTCTTTGTAACACGTGAATCTGCTATCTGTGGTATATTAATCACATGACGATTTTTTTCTATAAATTACGGGAAAAGGTGTCCCTGTTATGTATTATACCGATCCAGCGCCAGTAAGTCACCTCTTCATCAAAATTAAAGAATAAATGGACGGAAAAGACCTCAGATGAAAATCAATTAATGCAAGAAATCTACCATTGGTGGTGATGTTATGTTTGAGGTTAAACGAACTTGCGATAGTCTGACCACAAGAGAATACAGAAAACTTATCAAAATCCTAATGCAATGTCAAAATCTCAGAACACAAGGCTATAAACACACAAATATAACATTTATCAATGATATCATTAAGACGACCAGAAAATGTTTTTATGATTTCCATCAACCTACATCTATCGATGCCTTTGTTGTACATTTAGCTATTAGTTGGCAACAAATTTATGGTAAACATCGTATAGCATCGTCGACATATTAACATGGTAGGTTTTGTTAAAAAATGACTATATCGAAATGAAAAATCCACAATAGGGAAATCATCAAGTATTTTTTATACATCTTAGTGGAAACTTGTCCGTGTTTATCCTTGAATTCCATTTTTAAATAATTGACAAGCTAGTTAGTACCTGTTTTGATAATTTTTTCACCAAAAACAAATGTACCAAAATTTACTACCTAAAGGTTGCTACAAGCATAACTACTGCTGATAATTAATTTCTCTAAGCGGTTTTATATGCAAAAGTTTAAGACAATTAAGAATAACATTAACCTGGTTGGCTTTAAATTTGTTTTGTTATCATTTTCGTATTTGCCTCCGTTAACTCTATTGTCAAGATACCCGGAACATCGGTGTATAAAGTGGCCAAATACGACTATGATAGACAGCATTTCAGGCGTGTACGGACGGAAGGAAATAACAATATTAAAATTTTACTCATGAACCCCAAATTTCTACTAGAGTGGGATGTTTGTGGTTAACTATTGTTGAAAGATCCGGATCATAGGTGTATAAATTTGGCAAAACTGACTGCGATAGACATAATTTCAATGTAATAATTTGCTTCACTACAAGCTGACAGAAACGTAAGTATGTATCTCTATTAATTCATCTCTGCTGATTTGTTTTCTGGGTTAATTAGTTGAAAAAAGTATATATTTCATGTCTCATTGTAGTATCAATTTACTACTTTGCTGGACATAACACTGATATGACAAGATAACTAGAATTGTGGCTCTTTGGTTATACCAACAGCTGGACCTTGTGGTGGTGGGGGTGTCTTTGTGGGTCTTTATTTAAACAGGCAGCTCGTTATGTGGGATAATGTCGCTCTTCTGGGTTCTTGTTTATACACGCAGCTGGTCCTTTGGGATAATGCTACGCTTTGTGGCACTTTGGTTATACCTATACCAACAAATGAGCGTAGGAGATAATGTCACTCTTTGTGTTGCCTTGTTTATGACAACAGGCGAGAATGGGTATAATGCCAATCATTGTTGCTTCTACGTGATTCCAACAGATGAGTGTGGAGGATTATGCCTCTCTTTGCGGGTCCATGTTAATGCCAACATCTTAGCCTGGGGGATAATGCCATCCTCTTTGGCTACTTATATCAACAGCTGATCTTAGAAATAAGGCCAGTCCATCTCTTTGATTCTTGTTTATACCAACAGCAGAACATGAGAGATAATACTACTCTTCGTTATCCCTTATTTATGATTGTTTGTAGTCCTTAGTCCATATGTCAATGAGAGACGATAAAGATTAGAAAAATATTGAAAATGATATTTATATTTATATTAATAGATTTTCATTTAGTGGGTCTTACTGTCACCAATTGTTCACTAATTTGAATAGGTTTTATCAATGATAATGATCAACTTCAATGCATACATGATCTTTATACATATACGAGTTTGACAATTGGTTAACGACACAAGTTAAGTTGCTGGATTTGACAACCGGCTAACGACACGAGTTAAGTAGGTGGATTTAAGATTCTGGTGTTCCTTTCATGTGTTTACGTGACGAAATGCTTATCTTTTAAAGGAGATTACAAAATTGATGTTAGCTATATATTACACATTTTTATACAGGAAGTGGTGAAAATGGCTGGAACCTTATCCGAGTTCTTGTGGAATAAGACAGAGAAAATACGACAAGAGATATTAACTACATATTTCATTCAGGGAATAGGCGACGGAAGTTTGAATCCGACAGCATTTGGTATGTTTTATTGAAAATAAACGTTTTGCAGATAACAAGGTAAGCATATAGTACTCAGTGTTTAAAGGGTTTCACATGAATGGACTGCACTGTATTTGAATATTTTAATGTAAGTTTTACATTAAAAACTTAACTTTTGCAGCCATTTTATTAATCGTAAAATACATGCACTAAGTACTGAAATTAACATTGATACAACTAATAAGTCAAAATAAAATGATGCCGTAGATGTATAATCTCAGAGTCACTATGCACGCAATAGTAGATTTTTAAAACATATTTGTAAAAGCAATTTTACATTCATATCATTATTACAATAACGGTTCAAGAGTTCAGAGTGTAATAGTCAACAGTTTGAATTTAACTTTTACATCACGTTGCTCATTGTCGCCTTCAAATTGATATTTGCTTTAAGGAGAATAAAACAGTTACATTATCTTTGATGCGTTAGTATAGAATGTCTTTATCTACAGGAGGGTATATGGTGCAGAACTCTGTCTATATATATAAGGCCAAAAACTCGATTGATATCGCCAGGAACGCTGCCGACTCTGGACCTCTGAAAATTTACTTGGGAGAGGCGTCTAGGAGTTATGAAAAGTAAAGTGTTGTTATTTATCTTTTTACTCGCTTAAAAATATAACGAAAACATCTTTGCGAGAATCGTTTAATTTATCTTAAGATTCTGTTGTAAAATCTCTAATTGTTTTGTTTGCAGAAAGAGCAAGGAACTCTTTAAAAATTGGCAGATTGAGAATGTTGAGGGTATCAGTTTGAACGATGCCTGCCAAGCTTACGCTGACTATGAGAAGGCTGTCGCTTCTTCACAAGAAACGATCTACTTGATAGTGGCTATGATTCCGCGTATGAAGTTGTGGCAATGGCTCGGAGGCAAGCTGAAACCGGTAATTATGTATTAGATGGATCCATAGTAAAATAGGATAATTTGCTTTCAATTTCTTGAATAATTGACTCATATATAACTTAAGACACTTTGCCTCATATCTTATTCCAATTTCTGTTAGAGTATATAGGAAACTGTAACGTACTCTGTGACAGACTGGTTTTATTCATGGCTTAAATAGAAAATAACTACATTTCATTCATTCCCACGTACATACATTATCAAGCCAAGAACTAACACTTTTTAAATATTGCCATTATCATGGACAAATGAAGCTAGGAAGACTATCATATAACGATGATCAAGGTATATTTATTTTAATCTCACTGGAGGAACGAAATCGGTTATTAGCACTAAAGAATATAGAAATATGACCATGTTCATCTGTGATATTTGTTGATGGTACAATTTCTAAAATTACAGGGAAATAAGGGTGTATACAAAAACTGGTATGACAACAATTTCGATGCTGACAACATAGAATACAAGAAGTTGGATGCATTCGTGGATGTTGCTGTGGCCAATATGACAATCGACAGGAAGATAGCATTAGACATATATACCCGCTGTATGGAGGGTGAATTGGAATTTTTCAAAGCTGTGAAAAACATGTTTTAGGCTAATACTCAAATGACCTATACTGGAGAACTGTATACATGTTCCAACTTAAACCAATATATAAACATATTGTTCTAGATTTTTCAATGCTTATTAACATTATTTAAAGCTGCTCTAATAACTTAAGTATTTTGTATTCTGAAAAGCAATAATCAATAAAAGCATGACGATAAAACCTGATTGTTATTTCTTTTTATGGTGTTGGTCGTCTCTATATGCGGTTATATACACAATGCATCTATAATGTGATGTTAATACTATTGAATCGACATTGACTCTTTATTATCATTATTGCGAATTGTACGAAAAGATATACAGTTGAATAGCATTTTTCAATACGACATAATTACATGCAGCAGTGCCAACAAAAGAATGAAACTGCAGCTGTTTTGGCTTTATGAGACTTGTCAGTGATGTTTCATCGAACAGCTGTTTCGTTCTTCTCGGATTCGCTAGTGATACTACATCATACAGCTGAACGTGTAAAAGAGAATATTTCTCCTTTTACACTTGACATCGGTTCTTGCTAGTTTCCATGACTTTAAGTTCCAATAGGAATACTGGCAGACAAGACCTGTTTACTAAGAACAATAACCAGGACAAAGGGAAATAACTCAAACATAGTATAATGTTTCTATATTTTTAGTGGGATTAAGACAATAGATAACTAGATATGATGTACAAAATGTTGAATTTAGAACAAAACAGCAACTAACATAGGGGACAATTGAAAACAACTTTGAAAATGAAAATATATAAAGAAAAAATGAAGAATATGAAAAGAAAGAAAAAAGGCGGTAGTACCGGTCCATTATGTTATTGGTTCATGTTTTCTCTTTGTATTAATTGTCAACTCTTACAAACCAGATGTTAAAAAGATAACAGTTTTCATCGATTTTTCAAATCAGACTTAACTAATGCAATGCTAATATCGAGAGAAAAAAATTCATTTAAACCATGGCATGGTTATGGAGTTCTAACATTTTCCTCCATTGGGAGCTGCAGAGATCGGCAAAGCACTTTTGAAAAAAACGCATGTTGATAATCAAATTTAGCCGCCTGGCATCATCAATAATGCACCAAAGAACTAAGCGTTTGGATAAATATTTCTACTCAGAAATACTATGTACATTCCATTTTAAAGCAAAAATGGTTATATAACGCTATGATTGCTAAGTTTATTCCATCTGACAATAACATGGTGATGCCAAAATTAATGCCAAAAATGCTACATAATACTATATGAATGCTTAGTACATTTCTATTGAAATAAACATTAACAATGCCAAAAATGCTACATACTACCATGTGCAAGTATATTAGACCTGAAATAAACATATCCAGTGACAAACATTCTTTTCGGTTAACAACGAAGAAACAGCGATTAATTGTTGAATCGTACGTCTTGATAAGTAAAGGGTGAAAACATGAAAAAATATCATTAAGCGTCTTCTGCGTCATCGACGACACCCGCCGTGTAAACTCGTGGAATACGACCTCTACGTCACTAATGTTATTGCAAAATTTTGAAAAGAAATTCTAGAAGCAGTTCACAATGAACAATTAGCAAATCATACTGCAACGAATGACTTCGTTTTACCGAGTGTGTATTGGTGCAAATAAGTAAAACATTATACATATAAGTCATTCAGTGTATACACATGAACGGTGAGTGCTTCAGCCATGCATATACGTGTGTGAAGGGGTAACGAAATAACAAATACTATGAAACAAACGGGTTGTAAATATACGGGATTGTTTAAAGTTATTAAAACGAATAGGAAAATATGAACGCTAAATTAATAAAGGAAATATGAACTTAAAAAATGTACAGATCAATAAATACATTTTCATCGTCAACCAAATAAGTGTAAAGATTGATGTAACGATTAATGTAAAGAAAGTTATACAAGGACATCTTAGATGTAGAAGGGATAAGGTATTCATCAATCATTAAAATATTACAAGCAGCTGTTGAGATATGGAAGGGAGGATATATTTGCTTGTTTGGTGTTGCTCAGATTTGATGATATTCCCCATACAATTTTTTCATATATATATTGATAACATCATAATACACAATCGTCATGGTACATCTTACACGATTATATTTATTATGAATAATACATTATATATATATATGTATTCGCAGCTACATTTGGCAAGATCATTGTTCATTTGAGATTTCAATATAGCTTTCAATTTCTCAACATGATGAATAAGTAAGTATTTGCTAACTATTGGCCATTTCCAAACCACCAATGACATAACATTCTAATAGTTATCTCTCTTTCACCATCTCATCAGATGGAAGGTATACCTGGATCTGTATATTTTATATCTCTTTCACAGATTACTGTGCCTGAGCAGAGCATGAGGCAATTCACCCCACTGTCAAGACACAATCTAAGAACAATACTAAGAATATGCGAGGGGAAATGCCTCCGGTATGCATCCCCCACTAGGGAGACAAAACAACAGATGTATCGACTATCAACAATTCTATACGACAAAAACACCACACTTACTAGAAATAAGTTTAACTAAAACTACAGAAGTAAAGTATCATTTGTGACACCATATTTCTAGTTATAAAAGACTTTTTCGATCACCCTTTTTCGGTAATAAACAACTTTCTCTCATTACAATCTGTATTTACAGCATATGTGTTGGAAATCATTTTTTTTCTTACATCGCGCTTTGTCTTACTCCTTTTATCTTCGGACATCAAATATGGCGGTCATCTGATTGGTTAAAATATTATAGGCTATAACTTAAAAAACTGTTGGTCATATTGATGAAAATAAACACATAGATATGGTCTAATGTAAGAAACACAATGATGCAATCAATCTTGTTTAATTGATCAACAAACATGGCTGCATAACATGTTTAAATTTTGAATTTTGTATCGATTTTATGTTTGGGTTACCATAACGTTGGTAAGTTATTGAGATGGTAAGAGAAAACATCAAACAACACATACAAAAATTTCTGATCAATAAAATATTAGCATAAAATAGTACTAAGGCCGTCCACCAGCCGAAAAGGGATTATCGAGACACTTAAATTTGCACTATCGTTTTCGATTTTAGTTCATAACTTATGTTTTATGGATATGATGTAATTTACGTAACATTTTGTGTCTTATTTTGTGTCTTGATAGAGGGGCAAATTGCCCTGAAAATATGATTTTCGTTATTACTTCATTGATCTCACACACACACACATACACTCAAACACCACCTCCTACTTATTTCTATTATAAACGCATGTTAATTGATAGTAGAGAAACATGTGAAAATTGTACACTTTCAAAATTAATATCTCGGTATTTGAATGGACGACTTTGATGATGTTTTCAACCTTATATAGAACAATGTTATATAAATTTCTATTTTTTCTTGATACACCTTACGGTAGAGCTTTCGGGAGATGTTATTTTTGTATACAAAAAAATTAACAAAAAAATATTCACATTTTTGGCTTTGTATAATTTTCTAGCATCATTACATTTTAACTTTAAGGGTTTTGCTCATGAGAGTTCATATATTCGAACTATTTTCTTCATATACTTTACTGCTTTTAGTGTCGACCATGACGTATTATAGATATACTAGTAACTGGTTACAAATCCTACCTTACTCTAATACCGATTAAAATACATTTTCGACTTTTTCCGGAAACCCCCTACAACGATTTCAATGCAATTTTGCAGAAACCTGCCATGTGCAATCGTTAACCAACATTGTAAATTATATGGCCCCGACCCCCAGAAGCTTGAAAGCCAAAGCCAGTAAGGATTAAAATTGTAGAGATTACAAAATATTCTTCTAAATAACCAGATATGATAGGATCAAATACTCTTCATGGACTAAAGGGTTTTAAGGTGCTTTACCGAAATTATAAATTTCATGACCCCATGGTCTCACATTTCCCCATGTAGAGGATATAAAGTTTGCAATAGTTTATTAGGTCACCATTATGTCGTGAAATTTATACAATAATGAGTTACAACTCCAGTAAAACTCTTCTGTCTCTGTACAAATAGCATTCTTCATTTTCTCTTCTCCATGATACACATTCATTCCCTTGTTTTCCGTTTGTTAGGTTCACTCATGCGACAGTTTAGATCCCTGGCTTCTGAGTTAGGATGAAAACTTGATGGCATGCTTACAATAGAATACTAAATTAAAGTAATTGAAAATTGTTATTATAAGTTTTTTCTCTATATTTCACAACATAATGCATTAAGGAGACAATTCAATTGCATATAAACTTTTTACAATTATTTATAATAGAATACATCCTCGGTAGTCTTTACATGCACATGACCTTATAGAGGTAATGTCCTTTTTTGTGTATATCTTTATCTATAGTCAAATTGGTCACAACTAACCTGCTAAAAGCCGTTAAAGTTGTTAATGTTGTTATAGGGCATGAGTGATGAGCTCTGTAATATCATTGACTCATAATTGAATTTAGTGATATTGATTACTTTTTGCTATCATTTTTACATGTATGCACCAGGTGCTTCAAAATACATAAGTTGAACCATTATCCGAGTTCCTGTAGAGTCAGATAGATTCGACAAAATCTATTAAATAAATATTTGGCTAAAGGAATAGGCAATGGACGTCTAATTACATTATGGTACCGTGTCTTAAGTTGAGGCCTCGGCTCGGACAGCAGCTCCGGGCGGTAATTATGTTTAAGATATATATAATATTGCATACTATAATTTTGACTGCATTCAATTGTAAAGCAAATCATCCAACACATGTTGATCAACTTCTATCTGTAGTATTGTACACAATACACAGAAGTGAGTAACACGTCTCTTTACTAATATTAGAAATCAGTCATTCATAACATTGAGAATGATGCTTGTTACGTTGTTTTGAACGAACAGTTCTTGCTGACTGGACAGGACGATCCCGAGTTGTTACATTCAACGAAGTAGTGGAGAAACATTTTCAATCGCTATGTTTTAGCTATGAACTGATATGACATTAATTGTTTGTATATACATAAATAATGTGTATTCAATTCAGTAACCAGTATATACAAACAACCTTGTACAACTGAAATTACTTAATCAATTTGAAGGGAAATGAAAATCTCTATCTCACATCAATAACCTCAAGTTCTTAATTGCTGACTTCAAAGGCTGCCATGTG